TCCTGAGGCAGTTGTAACAAAGGATCACAGGCTGGGTGGTTGAAAACAACTGAAATTTGGAGACGCAAGGTCTGCAGTCAAGGGGTGAGCAGGGCTCCCTTGAGACAGGGCAGAGTCCTTGGCCTCTTCCTGGCTGCGGTGGCGGCTCACCGTCCGTGGTGCTCCAATCTCTGCCTCTGGTCACACAGTGCTCTCTCTGTCTGTCTTCCATGCTGTTTCTCTTCTCATAAGGACACCGGTCACATTAGAGTGGAGCCACCCATGACTTCATCTTCACTAATAACATCTGCAAAGATCCTCTTTTCAATAAGGCCACATTCTCGGGATCGAAGGGTTAGGACTGCAACCGTCCTTTCTGGGAGACACAATTCAACCCATCACAGCGGGTTCAGCTGAGTCATGATCCAAGCAGCCTGGGAACGGGCCGGCCCCGGGAGGGAGGTCTTGGCGTTTCATAAGTCACATCGAATGCTAATAGGAGTCAGGGCCCAGTGGAGAGCACGTGGGAAGAGGGACAAGCCTCCTGGCGGTTACAGACTCATGAGGCTTCTAGAAGGACATGTCCTGGCTTTATCTGTCTGAACAGGGTGCACCGGGGGCTGAGACATCCCTAAAGCTCTTACTCAGAAACATAATTCAACTCCTTCCAACTGACTCCGGCCAAATTGATGGCCCTCTTCCTTCCCCCACCTCCCTTAACCCCCGAAGTGACAGCACTGCCTGACTCAATGGGGCAGGAAGGGGGAGGAGAGGCAAAGATCTGCTCCGCTCAGGCAGCTTTGTCCAAATCTTGCCTCTGGAACAGGCAGCTGGCAGCACACGTCAGAGTGCCTGAAAGGAGAGAGGTGCACAGGAGGGGCGAGGCCTCTCTAGGGAGGATTAGTGGGAGCATGAGTGGGATCAGCGCGAACAGCCAGTCAGCGTGCTGCATGGAATTCAGATCAGCGCGGCGAAAGTGAGCGAGGGTAATAAAACCAGCCGCGGAATGGCATCGATTGTTGAGATCCCAGCCAAATCCACCACGAACATGTTTTCTCTCTTCTAGACTCTGCCCCTCGGTTTTGAATCTCTGTTCTGTACAGAAAGCGGATCTGAGCCCCTCCCCACAGGATGGGAGAAACAGCTCTGCTGTAAGCAGGAGAGGACAGAAGCAGAAGCCAAGACCCTGTGATGCCCAGGCTCCCTCCCCAGCCCGCCCTCCCCTGGGCCAGCACCCTTCGAGCCCAGGCTGGGCAGTGGGCCCAGTGGGGCTGCCCCAGCAGATCTGGGGGAGCCCCATTCTAAAGCTCCAGAAAGTTGGTCTCTAGGAAGCTTGGCAGAGGGAATGGGATACTGAGAACTGGCCGTTTACTCTTTGCACATTCACTTCTGTTCAGCAGCTGGGCACACAGACAGCCAAGACCCTGAACCTCTAGCTCTGCACTGCTCACAGCGCCACCCGTGGTTTCTGAGCCTGTGACATGTGGCTGTGGAACCGAATGTGAAAGTTTATTCCATGTCAACGAATTTAAATTTAAAGACAGAAGCAGTGTACTGTGTGCTTGATTGTAAACATAGTGTTGAGCTTGATTGTAAACATAGTGTTGACCTTTTGTAGGATTACACTTTAGCTGTTTAAAATTTAGTATCTGAGCTGAGAAGTGCTCCACGTGTAAAATTCACACCAGATTTCAAAGACTCGGTGCAAAGAAAGAATGAAAAATACCTTTCGTTCATCATTTGAAAATATTGATTACATGTTAAAAATGACAATATTTTGTATACATTGGGTTCAATGAACTATGTTTAAATTAATTTCAACTGTTACTTTTCTAATGTGACCTAAAAAACCTAAAATTATATAACAGCTGAAATGCTGTTTTTACTTAACAGTGCAATTCTCAGGGCTTTCAACAGGGGGCGCTTTTGCCCCGCAGGGAACTGTTGGAACGTCAGATATCTATTTGATTGTGACACTGAGAGATAAGTGCTATGGGAATCTAATGCATAGGGGCCAGGGATGCTCCTAAACATCCTACCATGTCCAGGACAGCTCCCCTTCTCCCCCCCCATAAAGAATCATCTGTCCCCAGATGTCTCTTGTGTCACGATTGAGAAGCCCTATCTTAGAGCACGGGTCCTTGAAGGAAAGGCTAGCAGGTCAGAGCGACCTGAAGAGCTAGTTGGAGCCAACTGAGCAAAGAAGTGAAAGCTGCTCTCACACTTGGCGCTCACGATCAGCCACAGCCATGGGGTTATCACCCCCACTTCTCCGGAGAGAGGGGGAAGCCCGGAGGAGAGAGGTAACATGCCCCCGATCACCAGGCAGTGAGTGGCAGAGCTCAGACTGAACTCAGTCTCAACCCCCTCTGAATGCTACCTGTTCCCTGTGCTTCTCGCGTCTACCGCCATCACTCAGACCCAGGCGGTCATCATTCACATCAGCCATTTCTGCTCGCAGGGGACGAGCGTGCACAAAACACACTTGAAAGGGACCATCAGCTCAGAGAGAAACGCTCGCAGGCACCTCACCCATCAAACACGGCTCAGGAAGGCAGGAATCAATGGAGCCCGGGAGGTAAACCTGTCAGAGGGCCATTCCCACGCCTCAGGAGGCGGAGGCAGAGGGAGGAACACGTGCCACAGGTGAAACCGGCTCAGCTGAAAGGAGGCATGAAGGGAGCTACCTGCCCCCCACTGAGGCTGCTGGCTGTGGACAGAGCCCGGGGCTCAGTGACCCCCAAAGCAGAGCGGTTTACACACTCTGAGACACGCAGCTTCTCCACCAATTGGGTGTGAGTACAATGGTGAGTCACTTTCCTCTCAGCATCATGTGTGTCCCTCTGCACCTGCACCCCCTCCTGGGGTCAGGGGGATACTGGGTGTGGGGGGGGGGGGAGAAGGCTGTGGCAGGGTGGGCAGGGGGCTGGCACTTGGTGCAGGCCTGCCTGAATAGGACCCTCCCAAGGGTCCCCGGATGTCATCTTTTCTCCTTCTCTCAACTGTTTGAGAGTAAGCTGGTGAGTCCCTAATGTAGCCCCTAATATGACTCTAGAGCAAGTGTGACAATGAGCGGTGTAGGTGAGACAAGGTTATGCAACTTGCTGAAGGTAATATAACTGGGGAGTGTCTAAGATGCCATTCCTGGAGAGTTGGTAGTGACACCTTGGTCTCTGGGGGTCAAGAGCAGGCACACAAGTTGGCTGTGGTGACTGCTGTTGGGGCGTTGCCCCGATCTCCAGTGCTAACAGCCCACAGATACCCCTTTCCCTCCAAAAGTGCCATCAGGCCAAGGCTGTCACCTCCCCAGGAAACATGCACTCCCACGGCAGCCCACAGCCAGTGGCCGACTGACAGATGCCTGTCCCCTTGTCTCAGGGTAGAAGCAACTCTGTGATACCACCTACACTCCAGAGCCCCTGTGGGCTCAGCTGACACAGCTCCACATCCTCCTCTAGCTTCTTCCCCTGCCCCATCCTAACTCCCTCACCTTCTTCTGAGGATACTCCTCAATGACTCATGTGCACAAGGATCCCCATCTCAGCCTCTGTGTCTAGGGAAGCCCACCTAAGATATTCACTAAGAGCAATGTCGCTGAGTCTGGGAAGGGGGTGGACAGCATTGGACTCTGGAGGTACAGGGATGGCTGGACTCACGTCATCCCTACCTCCCGCACCCCCTTTCCCCCCATGATAAAATGGACCGGCTAGGGACGAGGAGAGAAGAGATATTGTCTGAGCAACAACTTTGAGAGGTAACAATCAAATATTTGAAGTCTCCGAGAAATGTCCCACTGACCGGAAAGGGCCCCTGCAGTAGTGGGTCTAGGTCAGTGGGGTCTCTTTTGTCTCAAGGACGATGCTGGGTGTCAGCCTCCGACACACGTGGGCTCTGCAATCCCAACCTTGAATAGTGGCAGGTGTTGATGTGAAATGAGCTAAAATTACGTGTTCAAGGCTAGTGGTTCCTTCAAACAGCTATCTACTCCCACCCCACTGGTTCTCACACCCATTATCTTGTTTTCTCTCAGAATACAGCCCCAGAAGACCCTGCAAGTGCACAGCATGTACACCAATAGTAAGAGATAGGCAGTGCTATTCCTGGTTACAGATGAGAGCAGTGGGGATTGTCACATTTAAAAGGCTTGTCCAGGGCCCCGGCCAGAATGGCTTAGTGAATGAGTACCGACCTATGAACCAAAAGATCACAGTTCCATTCCTGGTTAGGCACATGCCCTGGTTGTGGGCTCAATCCTGTGTGTGTGTGTGTGTGTGTGTGTGTGTGTGTGTGTGTGTGTGTGTAGGGGAGGGCAGGGGGCACGAGGGGGGGGGGGAACGCGCTTATGCCAGGAGGCAGTCTGTCAATGATTCTGTCTCATCGTTGATGTTTCTGGCTCTCCCTTCATCTCCCTTCCTCTCTGAAATTAATGAAAATATATTAAAAATATTTAAAAAAATAAAGGGCTTGTCCAAGACAAATGGTAGACCAGGGACCAGAGCCAGAGCTATTCATTTCCTAAGCACAGATCACTAGGCCACTTTCCTAGCCTCAGACCGCAGTGTAGTTGTGGCTTGTCTGGGAAGCACTCCTTTAGTTCCTGGTGTGTTTGTTTGTTTTGAACACCACACACCTCTCCTCTGCAGCAACATACAGTTGGAATCCTACCCTTATTTGTGTTGGGTTTGTTTGTTTGTTTGTTTGTTTGTTTTTACTAATGGTTCTTTCCCCTCCCAAAAAGGCACAGGAACAGGCCTTCTTTTGCTCATCATTGTATACATTGGTGCCTAGAACAGTACCCGGCACATAGTAGGTATTTTGTAAGCGTTAATAGAGTGGATGGATGGATGGATGGTGAGTAGGTGAATGAATGGGTGGGTGAAAGAATGGGAGTATGGGTGGATGAGTAGATGGGTGGGGTGGAGGGACTGCCAATTCCTCAATGGTGCATCTGGCCTGGAGGACCCGCTGAGCGTGGGTCTCTCTCACTCCCCTCCCACCCCGTCCAGGGCTCTGGGGATCACCTGTGGTGAGGAGGCAGAGTGGAGTCCCCGGGGTCACCTGGGCGCTGCCCATTGGTGCTGACCACAAGGAAGCCAGTCCCCAGGCAGCATGCAGAAGAGAAGGAGAGAGAGAAACACACATGAAAACGTGCGGTACAGTGAACAAAACGGCAGTTTTCGTGTCTCTGAAGAGCTCACACTAAACAGCAAAAGAACATCATGATCTCACCAAACAGGGCCTGAAACAGATTTTTAAAAAATGGAACAAGAATAAGAGTCACCATTTATCAAGCATCCACGACATGCCAGGTACTCTGCTAGGTACCTCACATACAATGTTTCTAAGACTTAGAACAACCAGAAAGGTCAGTGTTGTTACCAATGAACCCATCACCTTTCCACCTGACCACCTTCTCTCCCAACTTTCCCTCCCTTAGCAAATGGTGCCACCATCCAGGCAGCTAGCTTTTCAGTCTAGAAGCCTGGAGTTATGCTTCAGCCATCTTTTTCCCACTTTGAATCCCTCAGCATGCCTTACCAATTCTACCCCAGAAAACTTTAAGCCTCCTCCTGCACTCCAATTTCATTTTCCACTCAGTTCACTTGGATGTATCACCCTCATGTTTCACTTGGGTCCTTTAAGCAGCCCCTGAGCTGGACTTCCTGCCTCCAGGCTTGCTCCCCTTCCATCCATGTTCACCTTTTAGTCAAAATGCATCAATGGCCCTCTCATTCCCAAAGTAATGGGCCCCCAGTGACAGTCCTCTGTCTGCCCTGCCTCCTCTCTCCACCCCCAAGATCACACTCGGTTCTGCCCACGCACAAACTCCTTTCCATCATCCACAGGCCCCTCCCTTCTTGTCTGTGGGCTTTACCTAGCATTGTCACTTTGTGTGAGACACACTCCCTTCCTGGCCACCAATGACTCATTCTTCAGCTGTCAGGTTTTTCTCTCTAGGGAGTCTTTAGTGTCACACCTGGGACAGACACCTGTCCCACCAGATTATAAATGGCTGCCTTCCCCTCTATAATTTCTATAATCTCCTTGAAGGGGCCTGGCCATGGTAGTGCCTTGTTAACTGGTGTACATCTGTGGCCTTGCACTGCACCTGGCACATAGTAGGTACACAATGACTATCTGTTGAATAAATGAAGGAACAAACGAAGAAATGATGAGTAAGAGAACTGATGTAACTTGCTCAAGTTCACAGACGTAATAGCTGGCAGAGGCGGGAGCCTGACTAATGTTCCTGTCCTTTCAAACCCACCACTTGCCTCTTTAAAGAAGGTGATATGGAAGGCATGAAGGTCTCCTATGCGGGCCAACGGCTGCTGGTTTCTCTAGTGATTCATCCAAAACTATAAAGTTCTTATGCAAAACCATGAGACAGCTAGGGCATTTCAGACCAACTGGTAAACAGGAAATACATAATTACAAAAATTCACAGGAAGAGCAAGCTTGACTAACAGCTCTGAGAAGCTATAAAATGTATCCAACAATAAACCTGGTCAACAGCGATCATCATACTTCCTTAGAGGGGGGCAATGTCCCATTTTCAAAGCACCCTCCCAGGGAGAGGTCAGTCCACAATGGCTCATGAGCCAAACCCAACCACCCACTAGCTGTTCTCTGGATGGCCATGAGCTAACAATGGTTTTTACATTTTCAAATGGTCGAGAACAAAGTAAAAAGGAGAGACATAGTTTTGACATATAAAAGATTATATAAAGTTCACAATTCAGTGTCCATAAAGAAATGTTATTGGAACATAGCCAGATTTATTTTATATGCACTATCTATGCTTTTGTACTGTAATGACAAACTTGGATCATTCTGACAGAGACCATATGGTCTGCAAAACTAAAAAATATTTACTATCTGGCCCTTCACAGAAATGTTTGCAACCCCTCTTCTAAGTGGCTATTTTTTTGTTAATTTTCCTTCCAGTCTTTTGAGATAGGCAAGACAAACACTGCTGGCCTTGCATGTCAGAAAAAGAAATCAAAGGCTTGCGAGAAGAGATGAATCATGTTTTCACCTGGTGATTCAGCAGCATTCTCTTGTTCTCCCCTGCTCCCGCCTGGCCTTGCCCGAGGAGCCCTTCCCTGACCCATTTTCTAACCTGTGAATAGATGGCCTTCGGGACAGAGGCAGTCTGCTTCAGCGCCTCCAAGCACTTCCCCTGATTCAGGACAATGTGCACATGCATGCTATGGAGCTGCCCAGGGTCCTTGGGGTCCTGGTCTTGCTGGCCACTTCAGCTTCACCTCTCATCACATGTGGCCTCCACTGGTCACACAGCCATTCCAGCCATTGTTGTTTTGCCTTGTCCTACGCATGCTCTCTTGTCTCCTAATGAATTGCACATGCTCCTTCCTCAGCTCAGAAGGTCTCCTTCCTCTCTAACCTTGTTCCATATGGTAATTATCACTCTTCTTTCAAAATATGCCTCAACCACACACCCAAGAATGCTCTATGTTTCCCTTCTCTGTGCTCCCACAGACTCATGCATTTACTTACTTCCATTACAGACCTTATCATACTGCACTGACACAATTTATCTATTTACTGCTTTCCCATTAGCTGTTACTTGTTGAGTGCTTATTATAAGCCAGGCATTAGACCAAGTATTTTATGTCCAATAGCTCATTACATTCTTACATGAGCCCCAAGATATAGTGGTATTAACTGATACTGTTTTATATTTGGCAAAACTGAGACACGGAGCAGTTAAATACCTTTTCCAGCCTAGAATCAAAGACTATCCAAATCCAGCGACAAAAGTTCTGAACCTCTAGGGGATGAGGGACCACAAATCAGTACTAAGTTGTACCCAATAAATGTTTATTGAAAACAAAATGAAGAAATAAAATTCTGGTTCACTATTTTTCACTTACTAGCTAGGTCACTTGGAAAATCATGTAAATTTAAGTTTCATTTTCTCTAGCTATAAATGGGGACAATAAGTATCTCATGAAGTTCTTTTAAGGAACAAATGGAAAGTAGTCAAAGCATTAGTTCAGTTGGCAGACCCACCCTACCCTCTAGGGCAAGCACGTCAAACTCAAAGACTAACACAAGCCAAATAAATGATATATATGGTTCGTGGGCTATGAGTTTGACATGTTAGTTCTAGGGATACAACTCTTCTCAGTAGGAATACTCAGCTATAAGGGATAGGAAAAGAGGTGTGGCTGGACAGGTGCTGGGATGGGGAGAGGTTTTCCTCGTGGGTGGAGTAGCAGTAGATAAGTGATGGATCATGGTTCTCGCAAGACACAAAGAGAAACAGAAAAAGAAAAAGAGTTCATATATATCATGCTAGAAATTACTAATGTATACCTGTGACTGAGACATCTCTCCTTCTTCTTCTTTTTAAAAAATATATTTTATTGATTTTGTACAGAGAGGAAAGAAGAGAGATAGAGAGTTAGAAACATCGATGAGAGAGAGTCATCAGCTGCCTCTTGAACACCCCCGACTGGGGATATGCCCGCAACCAAGGTACATGCCCTTGACCAGAAATGAACCCGAGACCTTTCTGTCCCCAAGCCGATTCTCTATCCATTGAGCCAAACCGGTTTCGGCCATCTCTCCTTCTTATGCATGTGGAAGAATCTAAGTTTCATCAAGGCCACGTAAGTGGAAGTGACATGAGTAATTTCTGAGTGAGGTAATGAAGATCCAGACTACCTCTTCCATACTTTCCCCACCCATGCTATGGGATCCTTTGAGGCCATATCTATTCTGCATGTCATAACAACAAATGCACCTTACTGAGATTTGGACATCAATCTGTTGTCATAGCAAAGCCTAGCTCAGTGGTCAGCAAACTCATTAGTCAACAGAGCCAAATATCAACAGTATAATTATTGAAATTTCTTTTGAGAGCCAAATTTTTAAAACTTAAACTTCTTCTAATGCCACTTCTTCAAAATAGACTTGCCCAGGCTATGGTATTTTGTGGAAGAGCCACACTCAAAGGGCCAAAGAGCCACATGTGGCTCGCGAGCCACAATTTGCAGATCACTAGCCTAAACTATCCTGACTAATCCAATGAGAGGAAAAAGTGGAAGTCTTTTGCTTTCTTCTCTCTCACCTGGTCTTCCACCAGGCACCTGGGTTTTTACTGGAAAATTTCATTACTGCTCTCTCTTCACAGTTTTCAGGCCTTGTTCACATGTAGTAGTATTGGTATCTATGTCAGACATTGATGAAAATATTGAGACCATGCAGAAAAAAAGAGGTCAATGCCCTAACCAGTTTGGCTCAGTGGATAGAGTGTTGGCCTGCAGACTGAAAGATCCCAGGTTCGGTTCGGTCAAAGGCATGTACCTTGGTTGTGGGTACATCCCCAGTAGGGGGTGTGAGGAGGCAGCTGATCCATGTTTCTCTCATTGATGTTTCTAACTCTCTATCCTTTTCCCTTTCTCTCTGAAAAAAAAAAAATCAATAAAATATATTTAAAAAAAAAGAAAAAAGAAAAGAAAAGAAAAAAAGAGGTCAGAATGCTGAGTACCTCAGACTTCCTTTCTGTTTTGTTCTCCCCCACCCCCACCACCACTTCTAAAGCAATGAATGTTAAATGCAAAAAGATGCTGATGAGCTAAAGATGGCACTGAAGCAGATAACCTTGAAGACAAACTAATTTATTGGTTTACTAGCTTCAATATGTTGTGGAAGTGAAGACAGCTGATGGCTCCTTGAGGTTTCTGCTCTAGATCCCAGGATTTGGCTTGGACACCACTGAAGAGAGACCAAATACCCATTATACCCTAAAGATTCTATTATCAACTATTCCTTAAAAAAAAAAATCCTAAGAAGGAGTTAACAAATAGGAGTCAGGGGACCCTGACAATGGTCCATGGCCTACCACCAGGACCACAGTATTGATAAGATTCAAAATGGTGCCATAGAAATGCCATGTGCTTTGGAGTTACATCTCAGCTACAGTTCTGAAGCACCTTGAGCTCTTTATTTAACCCTTTTGAGCCTATATGGATTAAATTTTTTAGTAAGGAAAATAATAATAATCACTATTTAGTGAATAATATGGACCAGGCTTTAGTTCTTTTTT